CTTATTGCATTATTGTGAGTCGAATATTACTACACATTTATTAAACAACAAGATGTCATTTTTAATTCTGTTAACTCCAAGCTAAGTAGGTTGTGGATTAATATGGGTTTAAGTCTACAAAATTTGTTTATTGCAAAATGCTGAAAAAAATTACTGTCACAAACCATCAATGTAAAGCAAAATTTCTACAGGAAATTCAAGAAGGAGATGAAATTGCATCGGATAACAGCAGTGATAGCAGATGATGTTATATACTATTTAGGAATACACTATTTATTTATAATTTATAAATATACTATTTAGGAATTGTTTTTAATCCATAACAGTATGTAATTATATATAAAATTTGGAAGTATCATCATTGTTAAATCACCCATTAAAAATAAATTTCTCTCCATAGCCATCAATCATCTGCTTTCCACTAACTGCTATCAAAATTCTGAAGCAGTATAAGCAAAAATGTTTGTTCCGAGTGCTGATTTAATTTATGTGACCAAATGAAATTATTATTAAAATGAAACTGTTTAAAAGTAAAGATAAATTGTTAATAGTACTTTGCTGTTCATTTTTGATATAGGGACCTCTTTCCTCCATTTTTTAAACTGTTGATGTATCGAGTGTGATTTTGGCTTAACCACAGGCACCATCCCCGGTATTACAAATTTTGTTCAATAAGATTATATGTAAATTTTTATACTTTATTATGAAGCCATTTTCTTTAAGCAATAGGAAATTTTATCTGGCAAGAAAGAATAAAGTGATTATATAATTCATTAAAGGGGGAGGAAAAAACTTGGATTCTAAATGAATTATTTGAAATGTGTAAATTGAGTCAAATTAAGACTGGTTTACCGTGCAAAATTCAGAAAGTGATCTACTAATGGAAAAACACTGGAACATGGATGTTAAAATTCCACTGGGATAAATATAAACCAAAATTTCTTCTTAATTATCATTTCAAATGGGAATGTTTTTTGTCTAGATATTAAGATATTCCGTTCATTTTACTCTTTTAAGAAATGTCCTTTATAAATGAAGATAAGCACAAAAGCCAGTTATGGAATTAAAGTGAACTTTCAGAGAAGGCAAAACAGCTCTCAATAACATCATTTTTATGCATTGAAATATGTAGAACATTAAGTATTTAATTAATAAGTATATTTTTGATAATATTGAAACATTTTAAATTGTCTTTTTTAGTATAAAATATGTCATGCCAAGTGTATCATGTTTCTGTTCTTCAAATTCTTTAACTGAAGTATAATGTACATTTGTATATAAAACCGTAAATTTATTCCTAAATACAAATTAATGTGTAGTTGATGTTAATAGTTGTAAATGTACAAAAGAAGCTCAAATAAAGCTTTAATGAACTAAAACTGCATATTTAAACAAAATAACTGTTGCCATTCCATGTAACATAATTTTAGTGCTGCCAGTAATAATAAATAATAATGCCAACTTTGCATCTCCCAAAGATCATTAATCAGTATATAGTCTGCCAAATCAGAATGCAGACATCTCTGCCTTTTAGGTCACAAGGATTCATTTTTATACAAGTAGTCATTTGCAGTCTTTTCAAAAGCCTCAGGTGTGCTAGGGCATGGTAATTCACAGGCTTGGGAATCCTCTTCTGTTGATTTTCTTACAGTTTTTGATATGGGTTAGAGGAGTTTTCGTGACTAAATCTTCATTCTGTTGGACAAAAAAAAAAAAAAAAAAAAAAAAAAAACTCGAAAGTTGCTGGTTTTCATCTAACCTTGTATCATGGACATGTACAAAAGTATCTCCTCTGGGTGCCAAATGTATTGAAACATTGATTTCATGACCATCTGAAAGTTTAACATAAGCATAAACTGGTTCCAAGATGTGTTAACCATGTAGCATTCATTGTAGGATCTAGCATGGATGAACATAGGTTTATATGGTGTGCCGTTAGTTACTGTGCATAAGAGCTACCAGATAAAATGTGAAACAGGCTGTTGAAATTCTTTTTAATGTTTAGTAGCCATTTTCTTTGATTTTAGTGCCAGCTGAAGGATTTTTCCATTATACCTCTCTACTTGGCCATTTCCTTGAGCATTATATACAGTTATGTGACTTGTTGCTATACAAAGTGAAACTGAGATTGATTTTAATTCACGAGACATAAACGAAGATCTTCTATCACAATGTATATAGGCTGCCATTCCAAAAATTGAGAAAATGTTTTGCAGATAATATATCAGTGCAGGGTATATTACAAACAGGAATCTTGAAAACTCTTGCACAATAGTAAGAAGGCAAAAATACCTTTGAAATCTAGATTCAATTCTTCAAAAGGTGCAGTAGCATTAAGTGTCCTTTAGCTATATAGAATTCAGTTTTTAAGTGTAAACATAAATTATTAGTTTTACCTTCTTCTACTGAAAAAGACAAATTTTTAGATCTTATCCAGTGATATATTTAAGTTATTCCAGGGTGACAAAGTTTATTATGTAGTGTATTTAGATCTCTTTGAGGTTTTATAGTTGCATTTATTCATGATAAAGTGTCTGTAGTTTCATTGCCAAGCAAGTTCTAACTGTTAATACATGATCTCATTTTTAATTTTACTTCAGTGCCATTGATCAAATACAAATGCCACTGATCTTTGATCTGTAAAAGTGAAGCTGAAGAAGTGCCGGAAGGTTAAATAGTGTCTCCAATTTCGTAGAGATTCAACAATAATAGCAAATGCCTCTTTTTCAGTGAACGAGTGTTTTTATTCTATAAAGTTTAATGTTCTAGAGAAGAAAACTATAGGATGCCAGCTTTACTCTAGGTTGCTTGTATTGCACACTCAGAAACGTCAATGTCAGCTCTGAATGGTATATTATCCTGAATTGCACCTGAAAAGCTTTGGTCATATCTCTTAAGGGAATTAAAGGCTTTCTCAGCATTTTCAGATAGGCAAAAAGGTCTTTTAGTCAAAAGAGGGTCAATCTTTTCAGAAAAACTAGTAATCCAGCAGCAGTATTGAGCAAATATTGCCAGTACACGCTGTAAAAATATATCTTTAGGGATTTGTAAATCCGTCAGTGGTTTCAGTTTGTTAGGATCAGGTTTTATTATATTATTAGCTATACAGTAGCTCAACAGTTTTACAGATTACATGGAAAATGTGCGTTCTTCCTTATTCAGAGTTCGGTTATATTTCTTAGCTGCAGCCATAAATCTCTAAGTTATTATTATGTTCAGTTTCATTCTTGCCACATATAGTTACTTCACCATGATAGAGAAAGGTTCCCAATACTTTCTTACTTGAAATTATTTCATCAGTTGTTCTCTGAAAAGAAGCAATTCCATTTGTTATACAAATGGGAATCTGTAACCATTATGGGTCTGCAAGGTTCTCCTTTCACAACAAATGCTTATATTTGCCAAGGCGAATTTATGGTTCAATTACACCATCTTTAAGTAATTTGTATATTTCTGTAGCTATGAATTTTATTTTCAGTTTGGCATCTTGGTTTTGAAAAAAAATGGATCTGCTTACAGATTTTAAATTAGAGAACATGGGCTACGAGAGTAGTTGCCAATGAACAGTCTGTCACCTTTGAATTCTATCTCAAGAGAAGAATTGTCTTTTGAAAAGTGATGCCTGATAAGAAAGTCTGCACAGAGGTTACAGTCTGTCACCTTTGAATTCTATCTCAAGAGAAGAATTGTCTTTTGAAAAGTGATGCCTGATAAGAAAGTCTGCACAGAGGTTTTTCATAATTAGTACCTTTACATTAGTATATGCATGGGTGTGCAATTTAACTGTAATTAAAGAAAAACCTGTAATTTCTGAGTTTCTTGAAGAGTTAGTCATGGTTATTCTACCAAAATATGGTTTTGCTTGAATTCAACATCTTTTTACTAAATACTGATTTATAAAACTGAGTGAAATGCCAGTATAATTCAGGGCATTCAGCTGAACCCCATTTAATGGAACTTAGTTACGCACCTTTAGAGAGTGAGGAATGATTGAAACTGTGTAAACTGTTGCCATGGAATTAGTAGTATTGCATATAAGTTAGGATTTGCACACCTTTTGGTAATGGCCTTTTTATTACATCCTCGACATGCCACATCCCTAGCAGGGCAAACACTCCATATATGATGGTCTCTTCTACAGAAGAAACATTTTCCAGAATGAATGGGAGCAACTGCTGGCAATTGTTCGTCATTTTTCTTCTCAAACTGTTTAACAGCAGCTACTGGTAGTGATGAGGCAGAATGTTATTAAGCAAGCTCTAATGCTCTAGCTTGATCATAAGCTTTTTCCAATAAAAAAGTGGCATTTTCTAATAATTTCTCTATGTGGATTCTTCAAACCTCAGCATCTCTAACATACTCATTTTAATATTCTTTAGCAGTAACATGCTTAAATTCAGAATCCTTCCTCAGTTGTGTTAATATTTATAAATATTAATTTAGAGACTCACCTGTTGTAATCTAGATGCTAAAAAGTGCTGAGCAAATATTTCTATTAGTTATATGCAATGAATCTAGAACATTAATTGCATTACCAATATGATTCTGAATCATTACTATATTGATAAACACTTGCAGGTATGATATGACATAAGAGTTGTAGTGTCCTTTCATCAATTACCTCTTTCACGTGTGTGTGAGGAAATTTTAAAAAAGTTCTTTTCCGGTGTTTCCATTTAGATTCCATGTCAATATCAAATCTTTCTGGTTTCAAAAGTTGTTCTAGTTTTTAAAATAAATAAATAAATAAAATAAAAAACAAATTAGTTCTAGTTGATAAAATTGCGTATAAATGTAGTAAGTAAATAATTTCTCAAAGAAGCTCAATAATCAACTAAAATGGCATATAAAACAGAACTCTAAATGCTAAATTATTAAGAACATCATTTAAGCCAAAAATAACTATTGCCATTCCATGTGATATAGTTTTAGTGCTGCCAATAATAATAGATAATAATTCCACAATAGTGCTCACTGTAATACTTGTATTTTCTTTTTAGGGTCTGGTAAGGGCCGAACCAAACCATGCTGTGCATGGTGCTCAGAAAAGAGAGATCTGAAGTATTGCCTCACAGTTGATCATCAGAAGAAGGATTTTTGTTCCGAGATGTGTCTGCATGAGTACAAAACAGCTTTTTTAAAGGTTTTTACTAAAATTGATTTCGTATTGTAATTTGTGTGTATGTGCATGTGAGTGACTGATGCAACTATAAAAGAATCTGTTTCATACCTTACCAGACATCTCCACAGAAGGCCTTAGTCATCTGGAACTGTGGGTTATCATCTTGGAATAGTTTCACTAAGAAATTTTTATCATCTTTTTAGGTGTATATGCTGCAGTAAAAATTTAAACTTTCAAAATATGAGGTTAGGATACAGTAAAGAAATTTTAGTTTTGGTTGGACATTAAATTTCTTAATCTTTAATAATGCCCTTAGATAGAAAGCAAAAGGTGCATGAAAAAGGGGTTAATTTAGACCTATGCAATCAGAAAGTTAAAACATGTTTCCTTTGAAGTGCAGTGATAATTTTATTTCTTTTAATTCCATTAGTTTATAATTTTATTTCATTGTAGCTTAGTTGCTCATTAGTCTGGTTTACATAGTGCTGACTATCAACAGTTGCTATCATATACAGTCTTAGCTGATGATTCTGTGGTTCTTATATATTTGACCAATAAATAAAAATCATGTACAGACATGGAAAAACTTCAGATCATTATATTTTTGGTATCAAAAGTGACGTAGCTTGAGGTTTCGATAGTAAACTTATATACTATTTTGGTTCCATATCCTTAACTTTCACAGTGTAGCAGAAAAAAATAGTAGTCTACAAAATTGTTAAATGCTTTGTGGAATCAAAATTGCATGATGGAAATGTGCTTACGTGGATATAGTAAATTGATTGTTAAACAGGGTTCCTAGCAGTCCTTACAAGTGCTTATAAGTAAGCACTTAAGCACTTGTAAGGACCCCTTCAAATAATATATTATAAGTATGTTATTTGAAAATAAAATATAAAAGCTCTTATAGGTGCTTGCTTTTTCTCTAAAGAACTTTTTTTTTAGTGCTTATTTTTTGCTTTTAGTACTTATTTTTGAACGAACGCACATTTTTTCCCCGTACCAAAGCCGAAACAACTTTTCTTCCTGATATGGAACATCAGATGGTGAATCATACTCCCAGAAATAGCTTTTCGCCCCTTTCTTTGCATTAACATAACCTTTGGTGCACGCCGTTCTATTGGTCAAAGAATTGCGAAAGCGGTAGAAAATTCTGGTACATTCCATATTGTTTTGCTCCCACGCAATACTAGGCACGTTTGAATTTCTATCAAAATTTTATTAATTTACATTCTCGTTCCGCCTGGTCAGTTAATATTCACGTTTATTATGATCGGTATGCTTATATTATGAGCATATGTATGAATATTAATAATAATATATTTGCAGTAACTGCTGAAATATAGATAAACTTCAAAATCGGTAAGTGTGTTTTAACAGGTTAGTTTTCTAAGGAATTATATTCGGAATGGCATAAATAAAGTGAAAGTAATCAAATAGTAACTTTTTCCCCCAATGCATTCATTATACAGTTGGTGATTCTCCCCTTTCTCTAAAAAATCTCGAATATTGAAACTGTTACAGTTCACAGCAAAGCAAGTAACAGACTTTTTTTGTCACTTTCCAACTTGGATTGAATAGCACTAAAAGTTTTGTGGTCTACCAACCCAAGCAAAGAATGGTTCTATTTGGGAAATTTAACTCTGACTTTTCAAAATTAGAATGAAAAACCACCCAGATTGGTAAATCTTTATTAATCAATATGAATATAGGAGGGATATCGTGCGGAGCGCGAAGTGTCCTGATCAATGATAAATATGCGACATGGGCGCATAATGGTGAAAACTGGACGAAGCAAAGGGGCGTTTTCCTTTATTTAGCAGGGTTCGTAGCGGTCCTTACAAGTGCTTATAAGTCCTTATATTTGAAAATAAAATATAAAGGCCCTTATAGATGCTTACTTTTTCTTTAAAGCCCTTATTTATTTGTTTTTTAGTGCTTATTTTTTTTTGCTTTTAGTGCGTTTTTTTTTTAATTCTTTGTTTTTAATGAATGCGCATTTTTCCCCCGTACCAAAGCTGAAACTAAATAAACAACTTTTCTTCCTTATATGCAACGTGAGATGGTGAATCATAGTCCTGGAAATTGCTTTCTCCCCTTCCTCTGCATTAACGTAACCTATGGTGCGTGCGAGAGTACAGACAGGTGCACATTGTTCTATTGGCCAAAGAACTGTGAAAACGGTAGAAAATTCCGGTACATTCGGTATTATTTTCCTCCCACCCAAATACTACAAATGTTTGAATTTCTGTCAAGATTTTAATAATTTGCATTCTCGTTCCGCGTGGTCAGTTCATATTCGTGTTAATTGTGATCATTATGCTTATATTCTGAGCATATGTATGAATATTTATAATAATGTAGTTGCAGTAAATGCTGAAGTATAGATAAACTTCCAAAAATGGGTGTGTTTTTACACAGATTAGCTTTCAAAGGAATAATATTCGGAATGGCTTAAATAAAAGGAAAGTAATCGAATAGTCAAAATAATTTCATTTTCTTTGCCAATACATTATACAGTACGGAGGTTGGGAGTTTCTCCACAAAATCTCTAATATTGAAGCAGCGGACTTTTTTTGTCACTGTCCAATCTGGATTGAATAGGACTAAAAGTTTTGCGGTCTACCCAACCCAAGCGAAGATTGATTCTATTCCGGAAATTTAATACAGTCTGTAGAAAATTAGAATCAGAACACCCCAGATTAGTAAGTCTCTTTTCCTTTATTTAGTTCTTTATTCTCCGAATACCGGCAGGTGTTGATTCCGATTGCGTAATATCACATATGGAAAAATTACGCTGCACGTATTGCGCAATAACGTTTGCAGTATTTTGCATTAATAATTAATTTTTATGTTAAGTCTGAGATTTGTTTATGAACACTTAAAAGAGTTTTACTACGTTTTCTAAGCAGAATATTTCTAAGTTCCGTTGGTTTTTATATGATTCACATATCGAAATGTCAAAATCATTTATTTAGCCTAAATTTAAATCTAATGAACGGCTACAATCTCCCCCACTCCTCTTTTTCCAGTTGCTATCCAGAATATTCGGGAATTTACAAGTATGCGGGTTAGTTAAGCTTTTACTGTTAAAGGATGACTGAATGAAGCAATTTCCCATCTTCTGATTTCAGAAATGTGCCTCTTTTTTACTTAAATTACTTTGCTTGGGATATATGTTAAGGGAAAACTGTTATGCAATGAAAATTTAGAAAATGTTCAGAATTTTGATTTAAGTTAAATTATTTAAATATTAATATGAGTGGAAAAATAAATTGTATTTATTATTAGGTGCCAAACGAATACAATTAATATGGCTTATTATTATTTATTTTCTATATTTTCAACTGAAATATCATCATTAAATTTTGTAATATAGTTTAGTTCTGCATAGTTTTTTTTTCTCTCATTGTAAACTAATTCTGTAAATTGAACTGTCATTTAAAATTTTTAAAAAAAAGTTGTTTTCCATTGTTGAGGCAATGCGCATTCTCGTAATAAATATTGCATTGCTCATATTTTAAATTACATGTCTAATTTTTCTTTTAAAGTTATGCAGTTGTGTATAATGTAATTAGACAGGTGCTTATTTTTTTCTTAAAATGTGCTTGAAAAGTACTTATAGGTGCTTATTTTTTTAACTAAAATGTGGCTATGAACCCTGTTTAGTTATTTATTCTCCGAATACTAGCAGGTATTGATTCCGATTGTGTGATGTCACGAGCAGAAGAATTAATGCGCATGTGTTGCGCAGTAACGTTTGCTATATTTCGCAGAGATAAAAGAGTTTTACTGTGCTTGCTAAGCAGATTATTTTTTAGTTCCATTGGGCTATTTTTTATATGATGAACATATCAAAATGTCAAAAGCATTATTTAGCTGAAAAATCTAAAGACCGGCTACAATCTACCCCCTTCGTCTTTTACCAGTTACGCTCAACTATCCGGAATTTTCAGATATTCCGCAATTTCCAAGTATGCCGGCTATTTAAGGCAAAGAACGTCTATGTACAATAAATATTTGGTTAAGCTGTTTATTGTTAAGGAATGACTTCATGAAGCAATTTCACATCTTCTGATTTCAGAAAAGTTCCTTTTTTCCTTTTTTTTTTTTTACTTAAATTACTTTGCTTGCAATATCTGTTAAGGGGAAACTGTTATACAATGAAAATTTAGAAAATGTTCATAATTTTGATTAAAGTTAAATTATTTAAATATCAATATGAGTAGAAAAATAAGTTCTGTTTATTTTTAGGTGCCAAGCGAATGTAATAAATATGGCTTATTATTATTTATTTTCTATTTTGAACTGAAATTTCATCATTAAATCTTGTAATATAATTTAGTTCTGCATAATTTTTTTCTCTCATTGTAAACTAGTTCTGTAAATTGAACTGTTATTTAAAATTTTTTAAAAAAAAGAATGTAATGTTTTCCATGGTTGAGTAATGCTCATTCTCTCTTAATAAATACTGAATTTCTCATATTTTAAATTACGAGTCTTAATTTTTCTTTTAAGGTTATGCAGTTGTGTATAATTAGACAGGTGCTTACTTTTTTTCTTGAAAAAGGCTTATATGTGCTTATTTTTTTTAACTGAAATATAGCTATGAACCCTGTTAAAATAACAATTTACTCAACTAACACAACTGTGTAACATTTTATTGGCCTGGAGCAACAGGAACAAAGAGCTTTGTAGATTTCTTATTAATGATGAGCATGCAGTTGCTAGCCTGGGTTCTTTAGATTTTATTAAAAATTCTTAGTGATTATTAACATTGATTCCCAAACACAACAAAAACATCTAATTATATAGGATGCATTTACACAGATTGCAAAATAAAGCTATTTAAAGTTCTCTACTAATATATATTAAAAGCAGCAGATTTAAAGTGCAGAAAAATAGATGAAATACTGTAAAAACAAACTCATTAGTAACTTGTATTTTCAAAGCAAACCTGTGTGCCCAGCTGCCAGTAGTTGGCACCAAGAATGATACAGCTGATGCCATCCTTCTGGGCCCTGGTATCCATATGGCTTTTATAGCATCAGAAGTTGATAAAGCTTCATTTGAATTCAAACACTTGATAGTTTGCATAGCTGAGATGTAGAATATAATACGCAAACTTTGAAGTAATTGGTGTGGTGGTGAAATTTTTAGGAAAATTTGGGCAGCCAAGGATCAAATCTAATTTGGGAAAAATTTTGCATGGTGAGCATGATTACTTGGCATTTTTTCATTTAGCATTAAGCAATTTTTCCACGTTTGTTTGTTTTTAAAAAAAGTATTTTCCCTCTCAGTTCTATTGTGTAGATCACGGATGGGCAAACCTTTTCGGTCGCGGGCCAAAAATCGGAAGAAAAAGTTTGGCGGGCTAAGATATATTTTTCTAAAATTTTAAAAATGATATACAAGTATTACAATTTAAATATGTTAATGAGATGAATGAAATTGCAATTTCATTTTTTAAAGTTCCTTATTGAGGTTCGAAGTGAGATGTACTGATTCTAAGGAACGTGGCTAAATGCTTATCTGTCACTCTACTTCTGAAATAATTCTTTCTAAGATTCATAGTTTAAACACTTGTTCACATATATAAGATGAAGCGAACATAGCACTGATTTTCTGGGCGTGAGATATTAAATTTGGGAAACTTACTTTCAATAATGATTTGTAAAACTCTAACTTTGACATATTTAGAAAAAAACTGCTTGAGATGATTGTTAGATTGCAACTCGATTAATTCAAGCTGCAAATCTGAACACACTGCTTCGCAATTTACGTTGAAAAGCACGGTAAAAATATCCAATTCTGTTTCAATGGCACTGAAAACTTGAGATCTGAATACTGTTTATCTTCTTAAAAAATTTTTGTTGGCCTGATAATTTTTTTTACAGACTTTGTGCATTTTGTTTTCTTTCATATTCGGACATTGCCTTGTAATTGGAATTCTTATGCTTAGATGTGAAATGACAGGAAATGCTATATTCTTTGAAGACTGCTACAGCTTCATTGCAGATGAGACACACTGGTTTATCTTTTACAACTGTAAAAAAATATTTCCTGGTCCATTCATCATTAAAAGCACAGCACTCTGAATCAACTTTATGTTTTTAGTAGCCATTTTGAGGTTGAAATATTTTACGAATAACTCAAACAAGCACTAGCTACGCTATACTTTTAATTAATTTCACCACTCTTCACAATGATGCTAATGTCCCCAATCTTTCCATATCCAATCAATAATATTAGAACTCGCACCAAAAGAAAAAGCCGCTGGCTAGAGCCTTATGTGCAGTCTGCCACATGTGAGGTCTAATTCACCTATGTTAGATTCCCATATGTCTGCTCCCCGAGAAAGCGATAATGCTTGTTAGTGCCAGTCTACAGCTATAACTAACAAAGAACTTTCCACTTTTAACACTTACCAATTGAAAGCTGTCTGTGATGCCTATTTTCATCAATTTATGTTTTGAAGAAAAAAATATAGAAAGTAAAATGATCATCAGTCCTTTGAAAAAAGGGAAGGAAAAAATAATATTTAAACGAAGAAAAAAAGGAGATGGATATATAATATAAATATATGTTTCTTTTAATTTACCTTAGACCGGCAAATTAAAATTCTATCCATGGGCCAGGTAGAACCTTCCGGCGGGCCGTAGTTTGCCCATCTCTGGTGTAGATTTTTCCTGCTGGTGCTTAATGGAAAAGTACTAAGATTTCATTCATAAATTGTGATAAAATTTTAGACTGTCATTAATGCATATACTTGTTCTTGAATTATGTCAAATTTTGATGTACCTTATTAAATGCTTGCTTTTAAGTAGCCTTTAACTGATACATTTACCCTGATATCTTTTTTCATGTCAAATGCAGAACAGAGTGAGGGCACAAAAAAACTCACTTTGACATGAAAAAAAGTTGTGTAGAGCTGGTAAAAGAACAAGGAAGGTAGCCAACCTTAAACTCTCATTAGAGCCTGCTCATTTAAAAGTAGTCTGTGATTTTAATACTACTGTAGGTTGATGTAAATAAAACTACACAAAATATCAAAATATTTGGCCATTCAGTGAAGAAATAGTCATTATTATTGTAATCAGAACGAACAGTACCATAGTTTACTACAGCTGTGTATACTGAATTGAAGTTCTATTTTAAGAACTGTAATAAACTGTAGTTTGTTGCCAAAATTGAAATTAATTATAGCAGTAGTTTCCTTTTGTTGAAACAGGTGTCGGTAGCTTTTACATATTTACTAACTTAAGTAAATGATAAGCAGCTTAATGGTTTTACTTCAAATGCTGCTAACTGCAAATATGGGGAAACATTGAGGTAGTGTTTTCAATAAATTAAATAATTTGCATTCATCAGAATGTTATTATTGCAGTGTGTTGTTATTAATCAGTGTTTATTATTATCGCAGTTAAGTATTGTTATAATTGATCGATTAAAAAATTCCAAACAGTTGTACTTTAAATGTGCATAACATTAAAAGCATCTGTGAAACTAATGTAAATTGTCAGTTAAAGGCCCATTTTCAATAAGCAGTGATTAAAAAATCCAAAACAGTTGTACTTTAAATGTGCATAACATTAAAAGCATCTGTGAAACTAATGTAAATTGACAGTTAAAGGCCCATTTTCAAATTTTGCTTACATATGCTGTCCCAGAACATAAGAAAGAAAATTCAAAATAAATTTTGTTTGAGCAATGCATTGCATAAAGATGACTATAAATATATTCCTGAAATTCAAAATATAAAAAAATCAAACAAAACTTTTTAGATATCAAAATGTGTGATAGTAGGCAAAAATGCCTGTTCCTCACAAGTCTCATGTTATTCAACCTCTTTGTTTTGTAACTTAGTTTATTTTTTAAATAAAGAAGTTTAATTATTTTAAATATGAACTATTAGTGTGCTACATTCATGATAAAAATTAATTACAGAGGTATTTTCTTTAACAAATCAATAGAAAAATACTGTATTTGACGGCATATACGACGCACTGGCACATAAGATGCACCCTTATTTAGGCGGCCACACACAAGGAAAAAAAGTTTCAATAGTGTGGTTTCTTTTAGTTCTCACATTTCGTATAGCCAAATAAACAATTATTGAATGCAATTACCTTCACTTATAAGACGCAGGTAACTTTTTTTGAGACCAAATTTAGGAAAAATAGTGCGTCTTATATGCCGTCAAATACGGTAATTTGTCTTCCACTTCATGTCAAGTCCATTACCTTGAGATTATTTTACCCAAAATTAGTTTGTAAACCTGTCTAAAAGGGGCAGTACATATTCAGTGGCATAGATAAACTAGTCAAGGTAAGTTTGACTACTTTGAATATGTACTGCCCCCCTTTAGGCAGATTTACAAAATAATTGGGGGTAAAATAATCTGAAGGTAACAAACTTAACATGAAGTAGGAGACAAATTATTTTTATTGATTTGCTAATTTCATTTTTTTTTATATTTCTAATTGTAATATTTATATATATTTAATGCAATGCATTGGTCATATTAAACTTAAAATATCAGTTTATCTTGATTTTTTTTCTTTACTTCTGGGATAGCGTATGTAAGAAAAATTTGAAAATGCACCTAAAACTATTTAGGTCTAACTATATTTGGCATGAATAGTGCTGTTTTATGACTTATTTCAGTTTGTTGCATTTTCACTATGTTGCCAGTCAGGAGGTTCACTGTTGGTGCTTAAACCATACATCATTAATAATATTTCTATGTATTATTTATAGATATTTAGAAACTATATGTAATTCATATTTTTTTAATGTACAGTATCGGCAAAATTTTTTTAAATCAATCTTGAGTTCAAGGTTGGCTGACCATCATGTTTTTTTATTGGAAGGGGTAGCGTATTGTACGTATAATAGTAGCGTAAGTAATGTGTCATAATTTTTTAATATTCACTGAATGTACACAATTTTTCTTCTTTCATTTATTTGTAAGGTAACTTGTGCCTTCTGTGAAAACGAAATTACAAAGAATGCTGTTGTAATTACGGAACCTAGTATTAAAGATTTCTGTAATCAGTCATGTCTTCAGAAATACACAGCAAAAGAATTGAATTCTCAACTTGAGAAACATAAAGGAAAACAAGCAAATACAGTTCAGTATCAGTATGAGATTACAGGTATGTATTGTATGTATATGTTATACTAATTAAATTTTCTGTTATCCTTTGCAATTTTATTTCTGTGGCTTATAAAATTTTTATTCATTTAAAATTCTCATAGCAGTATATACGGTTTTAATATTAGGTATACTGCCCTTCTGGTACTGCTCAGAAGTTTTTGAAATTGATTTAAAAGTATTCAATTGACAGGACACTTTATTTTCATGTTTAAAAAAGTCTCCATTGCAATGTATAGCATGATCCCAATGTCATTCCCATGACTGGAAAATATTTTCAAAGTCATGTTCTGATATAGATTTCTACATTTCGAGCAATACTTTCTGAATTTTTCTCACTGTGCTGTATCACTGTTTTTGTTTTAAAAAAGGAAGAAATTTTTTAATGAGTAGTATTTAAATAAGGTGTAACTGTTATGTTTTTTCTTCTTGATCATCTTCCTTAATTATGTCACAGCTAAGTTTGGTATTTCAGTCATTAACATCTGGAACAAATTATTTTTTGAACTGTTACACTAGCTGTGGTGATTCACATCACTTTACTTGATGTTGCTTGCATTTTATTAGTCATGAGGATTTGGAAGGCTTCCATTATTATAATTACAGCTGTTTGGCTTTCAAGTTGTGCTCCCATATTGCATGACCAATAATGAAACGAATGAAATTTTGCATCAATTCTAACTTACAGTTTAACTACTCCTGACAGTCATCTGTGGATATCATCTCTAGTTCTAGTCTCTAGTGATCTGCAGTCATTGTATAAATTTGGTAGCAATTCCCATGTCCGGTTCTCTTACAAGTAGCATAAGGTAGCCCAGTAAACTTGCAGACATCACTGATGAGCTGTTAAATGGTCTTTCAGAATAATCTGATGCACTTTAGCTGTAGTCTCTGTCATTGTACTGACCACAGTGTAGAATCTGTTAGGCTTCTACCCAGGGCTGTGAAGTCGGACTCGTGGAGTCTAAATCGGAGTTAGGCTGATTTTTGGGTAAAAGGAGTCTGAGTTGGAGTCACTAAAAACAGGTCAACTCTGACTCCAGTTTTTGTTTAACAGTTTAAATTTGAAATGAAATTGAAGTGGATTCAAAAAATTAATCACAAACTGAGTTATTATTTTTATTTATGGATTATATACATTAATAAATAGTTTTTTCTATTTTATTGACTTTGGGATTTTTTTGGAAGCAGGCAAAATGAAAAATGAGCAATCGCCTTCTCCGGGAATCGAACCACAGGCTTCTGGAATACCAGCCCAGCGTGCAGAACCACTACATCACAAAGGCACGGTAGGAAGGCAAAGAGAAATACTTTATATACTCCCCCTTTTAAAGGGCGACTGGGTTTTTTAGGGGAACCCAATTGCCAAATCCTGGGTGAGGAGAGTCATCATCCAACATCCTTTTAGTTCGGGCACCACTCTAGAGACATTAGGATTTTTTGGAAGCAGGTACTTCACTAACAGAAAGACTAAAATGATCTTTCCAGAATTGAAAACTCATCTTTCTACACTGTATATAGCTACAAAAAAGCTGCAATGTTAAGAATTAAGAGGTAAGAATGGAAGAATGTGATGTTTGTTCCTTCTGAAATGGAAGGTTTATTGCAGAAGGAATCATTTCTTCAATGAAGAAATGAGAAACTAGTTTGGTAGACAATAAGGTCTTGCTGGGTTCATCTAATGTATATCCAAGACTGAATTTTTTTGGATGACAAACAAATTAAGAATGCGAAGAAAGCCATCTATGAACTTTCAATTAGAATGAATATTTTGAGAGCAATTGGAGTATTCAAATCAAGACAGTCAAACTGCAAACATTGCAACTGAGTCTAGCATCCTCTTCCAGTGATGAATTAGATTTTGAGACATACTTGTGGATAATATTGAAAATGCTAAGGCAAAGCAAATGAAAATAAAGAATCATGAGCCTTTAGATATAAAAATGAAAAAATATATACAAGATTTCTACGTGGCCTTTGAAGAAATAGAGAAATATGATTGCTTTTGCAAGACACCTCTTTTAGAACTTGTAAAAATCTATCCTGAAAAGTTAAAAGAAGTTGCCCTAACAGTAATAGCTCTTTTTCCTACTCAGGTCAGCGTGGAAAGATTCTTCAGCTCTGAAGTTTATCAAATTGGATCTATGGTCTTCCAACAAAGATCTTGCCAAAGCTATACTGTTTCTTAGAAATAACTGCCAGTTTTTCCATTTCATAATAAATGCTAATTAATATAAATCATTTGTTATGCCACCTTTTTTTTTTCTGTAGCATTTATTACTTATTTTATATTAAAAAAGGGCCTATATATATATTATAGGGAGTCAAAGTCATTAAAATTCCAGGAGTCTTACATTTTCTCTACAGACTCCACAGCCCTGCTTCGACTGTATACTGGAAGATCCAGAGCAATTATCGTTAGCACATTTGATATCAATGACATACACAACCATGCATACATCATTGGCTTCTTTCAGAATCAGTTTTCTTCTGCTTACTAAGTGCTTTAGGAGCATTTTTTTTTTTTCCATTGGCATGTCATCTAATATGTGTTGTGGTAATAATCATTCTTTTGCCAGTATATCAAACAGAGTATCACCTTTGTGTAAAGGAGGAGGCAAGCCAACTCACAAGTACAGAGGTAGTAAAGATGAAGAGATGAACCAGAATTGTGTATAGAATATTTTGAAAAATATCATTCTTTATTGTACAGTGATATGGCAGCAAATGAATCAGCTAATATTCATCTTTGAAAAGGTGTTTGATAAATTTTCATCCATAGCCCATCATATATGTTTATGGAGAGGTAAACTGATTATACATGAAATAATGTTTACAGTAGAGCACCAATCATAATTCTATAATAATTACAGGTTATTATTTATTTTCTGACTGTAAGAAATATTGTAAGGTATGAATAAGAAAACTTCCATGACAAGAAGTAGCTACTGTTTGTATTAAGTATTTTTTGGTTAATGCCAGATCAGATGTAAATGTGCCATGAAATCTTGCAGTTTCATGAAAAGCATGACTATTTTATTAAATCCAAAGCAAAATAAATAACAAATTCACAAATAAGAAAATGTGAAATGAATTAAGCCATATTAATTTCAGAATATGAAGAACACCTGTAAAACTACTGATTTTGCTTGACATATCTAAAGTCATTTTCATTTTCTCATGCAGTTAGTGCCATGTGAATTCTGTTGTTGCCGTGTCCATATTACATGAAACAATGGTTTCCAGAGCCTTGCTCCAAAGAGGTTGGACTTCTATTTTCCACCCCAAATTTTAAGGGAGAGCACTCAAGGGGCGATATGGGGATCTCCCAGCGATCCACACACGACTACTTTTGGCTTGTCGCATATTTAGAGTGCTGCCATGCCGCACCGACCCTATACATTTACAAATATCCATGTCTTCTCGGAGATTCGAACCCGGGCCCTTCGGTACCGTAGTAAGCTCCCATAACCACTGTACCGTCTGGGCAACTATATGAATTCTATTTAGTATAAATACAAGTAGTGGCATTCAATGCCATTATGACATTTAGCTCGCAATTTAACATTGTGTCACACTGTTTCAATGATTTGTATATGGCTATTCAGTATCAAGATCATTAAAACATTAAGCATATCAAGCATCAGCTAATTCATCTGCTTTATATACTTTTTAATAAGCTTAATTATGGTACTGGAGAAGGAATGCATGAACCTTGGAAGGAGTTTACTTCATAAATCTTACTTTTGTAGTATCTTCTGTTGTATTTCTATTTCAGTGCTTGCTGGCAGTATAATACAGCTTCATTGTGTGATTTTTCAAACAGAATTTTTATTTGGATGACACTTTTGTCATCATGTATCATTGCATAGTTACTTCATCTGAGAAAAAGAAGAGCTACTACTTTTGACATTTAGGTGTACCATCAGGGTTCTTAATGAAAGAAGTGCACATTTTTTCTGCCAGAATTAGCACTTAGATACACTTGCACAAGGGATTAAAATATTTAAGCTAAAAAAAATTCTGCAGAATATACAGAAGTACAAATACTACAGACTGGCAGCATTTGTAAAAATGCAGTCATATCAACATTTTGTATTGTGTTAATGTCCCATGTATTATAGAAGAAAAGTAAAAAATTAAATAACTTATTATCAGATAGTCCATGTAAAAAATATAGAATGAAATTTTAATCTAACAAATCCTTTAACTGACCATTAAAATTGGTGTACAAGGAAATAAAGGAACTAGCAGGAATGTATTTCTTGTACATATACAGTATAATGGGAGAAGGATGTGATTAAATTTGCAAATTGTTTGGGAAAAGTAGCATGCAGAATTTAGTACACAGAACTGCCACCTGTAGCTATAATCTGGTTAAGCATCGCATCAAACAGAGCTTAAGACATATACAAGGTCTTAATTCCATGTGTCTTCAGCTCTTTACAGGAATTCATTAATCACAGTTGTTGTGTGTCTGTCTCTCAGCAAGCCACGACCCACTATTCATAGTGGGATCTGAAGATTGTGCTGACTAGAGCAACAGTTGAACATCCTCTGTATCAAGGAAGGTCAGGACAGCATGGGCAACATTTGCTCATACATTAGCTTGTTATAAAGTGACATCTTACAGGCCTCAAAAATAGGGCCGAGCCATCAGCCTTAACATATGAGAATTATTACAGTGGTTGTCCACATTACTGGCTATGTGAACAAAAGGTGACAGAGATGTGTACCTAATATCATCCAAAGCCAGCACAACAGGTGTTGGGCCTGTATGACGATGACAAATGAAAGCTGCCAATGTTCATCTCTTCCTTGCCTCCATGCACAGATACATCCTTAATGATGCTACATGTTCCTGTGTTCAGTGCACCATTCTTCACATCACTGTAGGTGAGCCTGTCCCTGCTGCAGTGTCAAGAATAAGCACAACAAAGGTTGCCATATTGACAGTCTGGTGCTGCAGAGTTCATCACACTGACTGTGTGGACACTTGTC